ATGCAAATAAAATCGATATGTATTAAATCGAACGTAAATAACGTTTAGATTTTGAACGGGCAAGCTGCGTCTTCAGCACATATATAAGAATATGTATGTTATATCACTTTTCAACAGAGGGGAGGAATAAGCTGCTGTTTAACCAGCTTGAATGGCATTTTGCATATACCAAATATCTGCCACTTACATAGATCCAAACAGATGAATTAACGTTTGTTCACGCATGTTGGATTCCTTCTGCATGGATGGTTGGAAACTTGTACAAGCAGAGCAAGCTTCAACTTTCGTAATGCCATGAGTGATGTCACAGTTTTCTCTTAGTTTTGTGGCCTCATCGCCATGGTGTGAGCCAAGGAAACGAGGCAACAGCAGGAACAACAATTTGATGATAGGGAGGAAGATCATTTGATAGATCTGATTTAGATAGGAGTCCACCAGTTGCTGATGTTAGACGGGATATGTAGGGACAGCAGGGAAGATTTCATCAAGTGCTGGACCATCCCCATGTGATGAATATTGCTAGCTGTTTTTTATCTTTAGCCAGGGGAATCTGCCAGTAGGTCATCATGGCACGGAGGATGGAGAAACATCAGACGCCTGTAGTGATGGTGCTGGTGTTGGTAAAAGATGGGATTGGATGAGCTGTGACTGAGGTGTGACAGGGCAGCAGTAATCTAAATGTCTACTCTTGGGGGCGAATACAAGGGGACTACAACGTGTGCTGCATCTCCAGTTAGTGTGATCATTCCTTTCGTGATCATTGCGTCACAGTCACACCATGCAATAACGAAAAAACTGAAAGACATTTGTTAAATGGTTTTGCATCAGGGTCGACGTGTATGGACATGGGGTCACTTGAAATGGCTTCCAACTTTTTTAACCCCTTCTGTGTGTGATAGTCTAATGATTTACGCACCAGAAACTGTTATTGCACTTTGTCTCATTTCTTGGATCTTTTGTAGATTGTGAATGAAAAAGATGATTGGCTAACCAGTCGAGAGGTGAAAATCTTTCACTCAGAACCCTATAGAAAACATTAATATCAAGCCTTAACACACGATACAGCACAATGCACCTCTCTCTTTTTAAACTGTTATTAATGAAGCACTGCACTTCTCTAAATCTACTTGAAAACTGCAACTCCTCTATGCTGTTATTAATGAAGCACTGCACTTCTCTAAATCATGTGACATGTATTATGAATGAAGATAAAAGTCGTAGGTTCTAAACATACCGATAACAAGTGATTTATTGCCTAAGGTGGACAAGAAGCATGCTTTCGTCTTGTCACAACGTGGATACCTTCGAGAAGAGAAATGGTATTTCCGTGCAATAGTGTGATTCATACAATATTCAGCAACACAAAACTGTCTCTTACAGTATTACATATGGTAAATGTAGACTAAAATATCACCTATTGCCAATATCACATCTTTACCGTAAAGTGGCGCACTTTTTTCCATGTTCTGTATCGGAGAGTATTCAGAACATAGTACTACTGACGGAGGTTTAGTATGTAATAGTATACGAATCTTGTTAATAGTTAAGTTTCCTAGAAATAGTTATCTAATATTTCCTATCAAAGTAAGCATAAAATATCGTAACAGCTATTTATCCTCTTATATTGTCTGAAAATGTCCATATCTTATCGATGTTTTTTTCATTTTCTTTTTTTTTACGAAACGCATGAAATGGTATCGTTTAATCAAAATTCAAGTACTTCTCAGCTCCGAGACTCTTCCGCCGAAGGTCATTTTATTTTCTATCGTGCAGATAATAGATTGTAATTGAATTCAAATACCGTGTGTTCAGTGTATTACTTTTTTACTTCTTTTTTTAGCAGTTAAGCCCAAAATTTACAGATGAAAAATGCGTCATTACGATTTTTTCACTCATTCTAGATCCTCTGTACTTCCTGTTCTTCAAGTTGATGCTCGACTGGGATGCAACGGACTATTCGAACTGGTTCTTCTACAAGGACATGACCAAAGCCATTGGTAGGAGCCAAGAATATTTCTATGCACATGTGAACAAGGATAAATTAATTTGCTATCAGATGAATCCATACACTGAGACATACGTACGCAGACGCACACAAAGATATATACACACGCGGACGCTCATACACATGTATACTCACATGGACGCACACAGCAGGCACATACTCACATGCGCAATCACATACATACACACATACACAAGCATGCAAAGAAATAAACGAAAGCGGAAAAGACAGCGATTAAAGAGGAAGAAAATACAATCTATCAAAAAAATATTAATTAAAATCTAAAAGAATGACCGCGAGCCAGAATGTAATAACAATTAATTCAATTTGCTTTCACTCTATTATCCTATAACACAATTATTCATTGTGAACGAATAAAGAAAAAATAATTCCCTGGCTGCATACATATAGAAATTCCTTTAAACCCAGATTCATGAATCAGAGACACATAAACAGAAAATTTAGACAAATGAAACAAAACGAAACAGGCAAACA